CATCCGCCATTGACCTAGCTGACAGCATGTTCCTCTACAAAAAGGGTTTTAAGTTGAGTCGATGATTGGGATGTCGAGTGCAGATTGGGGTGTGCTCCTTAACGCACCTGTAATTAGTAACGATTCTACGCTTTGGACCTTATAAATACTTTTGCTAAAGGTATTTTTGGCTAAAGATTGCTACCTCTTCATAATTAAGAATTGGACGAACTGATTCATATAGCAATTTGATTATATGCGGCATAAGTCCCCAGCTCTTCCATATGGATTTTTTGTAAGAATAAAGTGCGATTAAGCCCTATCATCGCCCGCTCCTCAATATTCCTTTTTCAATTTAATTTTTTGTCAAGGACGTTACCGATACTTCCATTGAAAAGCTTAACCTAACTCTATCCAGCAAAAGTAACGAAAAATCTGGGATTTCCGGTTTCCTTGTAAAAAGTGCAAGCACAGTTTTGAATTGGTTCACACCGAGTCCGTAACATCGTTCCCATCTAGAATGTTTATAACGAGCTCCCTGCCACGACTTCTGTTCTGTCAAGATCTTTTAGTATGTCGTTTATCACCAGAAGCCTGAGTAATGGTGTCTGAACACCTCCCTGTGGGGTACTCCAAGTAACCGATTTTCTAATAGAGAACACCCCGATTCTTGTGTTGATGATTCTGCTACTGAGCATAACATCAATCCACTCAATTAGGAGTGGTGGTATACCAAGTTTTGTAAGGGAACCATGAATTGCCTCAAGTGTGACATTTTTGAATGCCCCTTCTATGTCAAGAAAGGCTGCCAAAGTGAATCACAATTCATTCAGATTCTTCTCCACAAAACTCACGATGTCATGCTGCGATGTTTCAACAGATTTACCTTTCGTGTAGGCATGTTGAGCAGTGCTTATCGAGATCAAAGGTAGATATTATCTCAACATCTATTAGTCTCTTCAGTATTTTCAATAGAAAATAGTAATAGTAAAACAGTAAAGACAAGCTCTTTCAGTCAATCTTCGAATAGCAGCCATCGGCTGCAGCTGATTTTACCCTCCGGTTCAGCCTTGTCGATGATTGCTACTCGAAGATTGACCGGGTATATGGTGGTATACCAAGTTTTGTAAGGGAACCATGAATTGCGTGAGATTTTTGAATGTCCCTTCTATGTCAAGAAAGGCTTCCAAAGTGAATCAAAATTCATTCAGATTCTTCCCTCATGCTGCGCTGTTTCAACAGATTTGCCTTTCATGTAGGTATGTTGAGCAGTGCTTATCGAGGTCAAAGGTAAATATGATCTCAATATCTATTAGTCTCCTCAGAGTTTTCAATAGAAAATACGAAAGACTGGAGGGAGTAGAGAAGCTGTTCACGGCGCTGGGAAAGAAAGGGGCAATCTCATCGTTGGATCCGATGCCAACGTCCACCAACGAATGCAATCCCACGGGTTCTACGATCCAGTATGTACATGTACATGTTTGCGAGACTACAGTGAATGATAGGACAGTGATGATAGGATCTCAGTCACTTTCAACGAAGTAATGGTGACTGATCCGAAGAGGTGCGCGGAGTATTTCAACCGACAATATGTCAAGCACCCCGAGAGCGACAGGGCGAAGCGAAGAGTACTACGTCGTATCAGATCTCTTCCCACCGAGGACGAACCACCACAGTTTACGATGGTTGATGTTGCAAATGTCATCCGGGGCCCAGACGGAATTTCAGTGGTAATGTTGAAACAGCTGGATACGCCGGGAGTCGAGTACCTAACGAAAGTTCTCAATATGTCGCCCACATAGTGCCCGAACCTGGAAAATGGGCCGGGTGGTCCCGCTACCGAAGCCAGGTAAGGATGCCAGTAAAGGCGAATCGTACAGGCCGATTTCGCTTTTGTCGCCAGTAGCTAAGACTCTTGAGGCTTTACTCCACACCAGCATTAGAGGAAGCTATCCAGTTGCCAACCATCAGCACGAAATTCGTGTACAACATAGTATCACAACAGCATTACACGTCATTTCCACACATATTAGTAGAGGATTGAACCATAACAAGCCGTGTGACAGAACAGTGTTAGTAGCCCTTGGCCTATCAAAGGCATTTGATACGGTCAATCATGCTATACTGTTTGAGGACGTGCGGAGAACCACCCTCCGGCCAAGTTTAAAACGTTGGATAATCAACTATATGTGGACGCCAGTCGTACGTGGAATTCCGGAACAAGAAGTCCAAAGCCCGTAGAGTGAAACAGGGAGTTCCCCCAGGTGGGGTAATATCTCCGGAAGTGTTTAACCTATACCTTTCCGGAATTCCTTGTATTCGTTTGCGGATGATTGTACGATCATGGCGTCGAGCCCAGTGGGCGATGACATATGTATAAGGTTGTACTCCTATCTCTCGAAGCTTGCCGCATACTTCCACGCGAGGAATATGAGAATATCCACCTCGAAATCAACGGGCACACTCTTTACCACATGGTCTGCGAAAATGAGAAGACAGCAGAGTGTGCAGGTCGAGGGAATTTAATACAGACCACGAACTACCCCAAGATTCTAGGGGTCACATTCGCGACAAGATGAAAAGCAGGAAGAAGATCCTCAAAGCGCCAGCCGGTAGCACTTGGGGTGTGGGCAAGGAAACCTTGTTGACCTCTTATAACGCGATAGGTCGGCCTGTGGTCAGCTTTGCGGCTCCAGCGTGGCCCGCGAACTTTAGTGCTAAGCAGTGGAAGCACATCCGGACATGCCAGAACGCTGCCCTGAGAACTGCGACAGGGTGCCTTCTACATGAGGAGGCGAAAGTCCTTCCCTTATGCTTTCGTTGCAGTACCTGCTTGGCTGTTACCATGAGAGTCATCCCAACCATCATATGGTGGATACAACTTCCCCACGCAGGCGTGGCATTAAGGACATACACGATCTAGAGAGGGAGGTCAAACGTTATAAGAGAGAACCTTTAGATCAAGAAGCCTATCAGACAGGTCTGAGTAGCATTTATACCGATGCAGTCGCGGGTGCTATTAGCAGTTACAAAATTAATGCCGAAACACTTACATGTACTACTGCTACAACAACAACCAACGAATGCGATTATGCATCATTCATTCTGCTATAAACTTAATGGTTTTATTTTTTATGAACTGTCAAAATTTTTGAAATATCCACTTCTACTTCGTGGCCAGGTGGGTCAGGTCCCTCATACGGTAGGTAGAGAGAAAGGAAAATGAGAACCCTCCAGGATTTAGATTCCATTCTCGCCACCGTAACGTCTCCTCCATTGTAGTTGCTAAGGAGATAAGATTTAAACTACTTTTGGCAACAATACACATCCTTATCTTATCACCATTGGAGACCGCGTAAGAGACGTACTGCCACTCCCTAGTCCAGTTACCCTATTATTGTATATACAGGGTTCCTGAACCAGTGCTATGTCTACTTCAGCTTTCGTGAGGGATAGGAGGAGTTCGGCAGCAGCTGATGCAGATAAATCTGCATGATGCTAAGTAGCTGCTGTTTTCTTCCTCGTAATGCAACGGCGTTAGCCGAAAACGGATCCAGTCGGCGCCGAAATGCAATTTTCCCACACGAGCTTGAAGGTACTCCTGGCCATCCGTATCCATAGATACTTTGATGACCAGGCACCCTCCTTCAGTGCTTGAACTGACAAGACGCCAGTTGTCTGTTCTGAGGTTAGAGTTTTGCTCGCCCAGTATTGTCAGGATGCGTGCTGGATCCACAGATGGTGGTGGCACCCAAGCTGTCAATACCTTACGGCAGGGGATGTCCTTTAAGGTCACCTCTCCACTAAAGACAAGCTCCCTCAGTCGATCTTCGAATAGCAGCCATCGGCTGCAGCTAATTTTACCTTCCGGTTCAGCCTTGTCGATGATTGCTACTCGAAGATTGACCTGGTATATGGTTTGAGAACACTTGCTCTTCCGCCCTGTTTGGCTTGCCGGTTGTGACTTGACCTCCGCCTTGTGGACCGACTTGCTGACGGACGGAGTGGAAGTTGTAGGTGTAGGCTGAGAAGCCGGGGCCGTAGATGCCTTCATGGCCTCAGGGTGTGGTTCCTCCGTAGACCGACCTCTCTGAGCGTGAAGAGTTGTCAGCTTCCTTTGGAGCTGGCAAGGCTGCGGCTATCACGGGCTCTGGTTTCTTGACCTTCCTGTTTCTGCGCTTCTTGGCAGGTGGGTTTGACCCAGCAGGGTCAGCACTAACCACCACCGCGTGAACATCTACCGGAGTTGTTGATAGCAGATGGTAAGAGAGCTAGAAGAACCTGATTAAGAGAACAGCTTGGTAAATGCGGGTGATTCTTTTCGAACTTTGCAATTACTTTGATGTTCATCTTAATCAGAATCCACTCTCTCTCCGTTCTCTGCGCGGGGTACTGACAGCACCTACGTTGATGGCGCTTGCCTATCGAGGCTTGTAACATCAGAGGTGACTGACGATGATCCCTCCTGGAGTTGTGACTCTGCACAAGTCCCGTTGGGAGTGTTCTTAGTGGCTTCCTCATCCGAAAGTGGTGAGTCATTTCCAAAGCCAGAAGGAACACTTTCCTGACTGAGCCTCAGCGTTTTTGTCTTTCCCAGGAGAGCGGACAATTCTTTACTGTGTTTGTGAATACTGTCATGCATGACGTCACTGTAATTAAGTATTGAGTCGGCTCCTCCCGAGTTAAAAATCGAGTCCTGTAGCCGGTCCTTGGTCGTTGCTTCCTCAGAAGCAATAGTGTCATTGGTGTTTGTTGGGGGATTTGGTTCGACATGGTCGACATTTTGAAGAATTTCTGTAAAATTGATTGATTGATTGATTCTGTACAATTCATTCTTCTGTAAACCTATTGGTTCTATTTTTTATGATATCGAAATTTTCAAGAGTTTCTGTAAAATTGGTCAGATATGTGAAATTATCAGATAAATACATTAAATGTCTTTCTGACGATGGCGTATGCGATTATTCATCATTCATTCTGCTATAAATTTATTGGTTCTATTCTCTATTTTCATGCAAAAGTACCTGGATTCAAACGTGGAACTCCAGTAAAATCGGTAGGAGAATGGTTGGAGCTGTTATATGGGGGCTATGCTAAGACGGGAGCCTATATAGACAATTTTATCCAACGATTGTAATCTATCGCGAGCCTGAAATATCATAATTTTTAGACAAACGCGTAGAAAAATGCGGTTAAAACCATCAAAATGACGAATATCGGGGGGTACCGGTATACAGGGCCATACGAAAACGTGCTGCTATCCATCGGAGCTAGAACCCACACAACAACCTACATATACCAATTTGTAGACAAATCCAATGGAAAGTGTGGATAAAACCATTAAAATACCGAAAGTCGGGATGTACCTTCATATGGGGGCTTGAAACGTGCTGATTTCATCACGTACATTTATACAAACAATGAGAACAACAACAGCGGCCACTGCAAGTGCGACGCTAACAGCACCAACCAACCACCATTACCATGCACACACGACTCGGTCATACGCAGTCAACAAGGCGACAACAGCACTAGCCAACAAACGCAGCATTCATTGGGCGCGTGGTGAACAAAGTAGTTTTCGGTGGTGTGCTGCTCACAGCGTAAGGCTAAAAATTCGCAATGACTTGGTAGAACCGGTCACATATAGTGTTCAGTTTGAGGTGCGATGAGGAAGGCTCGCTACTGCAGGAGCTTGCCAAAGAGTAGCTAGTGATTTTTCTAAAGATCAACGGCCGTCCTCCGACTAATAAAAGCATTAGTCGGGAATACTTTTCCAAGACTGGCTCTCATTAATTTGAGTGGCTGGTAATTCATTTACACAGGAGTCTCGGCTCGCTGTTCCACAGGAACTTCGGTTCGCTGTTCCACAGGAGTTTCGGTTCGCTGTTCCACAGGAGCTTCGGCTCGCTGTTCCACGGAAACTTCGGTTCGCTGTTCTACAGGAGTTTCGGCTCGCTGTTCCACAGGAACATCGGTTCGTTGTTCCACAGGAGTTTCGGCTCGCTGTTCCACAGGAGTTTCGGCTCGCTGTTCCACAGGAACTTCGGTTCGCTGTTCCGTATAATAGTCAAACGTTGGTAGTGGAGTAGACGTAGTTAGAGAATCGTAGCTAGACTAGTTACCTCGCCCCTGTAGCCGACCCGAATAAAAAGAACCCGAGCTGCCGAACGAGCCACGATCCATCTACACAGCGTAACGCATCGGTTGCTGAATCTACCCTCAACGAGCTGCCGAACACGTACGAATGTCAATCCGCTCACGAAGACCTGGACAGCTGCTCCCGATTACCTTCTAATCGTCAACAACCCTCATCACACGAACACCAATATCGTAATTCCTGATCGTCGACAACCGACGACCACAAGTTCCCGATTACCTTCAAATCGACAACGACCATGAGTTCCCGATTACCGTCAACAGAACGCATCACCCGAACACAATCATCATAATTCCTGATCGTCGACAACCGACGACCACAAGTTCCCGATTACCTTCTAATCGTCAACAACCCTCATCACCTGAACACCAACATCGTAATTCCTGATCGTCGACAACCGACGACCACAAGTTCCCGATTAGCTTCAAATCGTCAACGACCATGAGTTCCCTATTACCGTCAACAGAACGCATCACCCGAACACAATCATCGTAATTCCTGATCGTCGACAACCGACGACCACAAGTTCCCGATTACCTTCAAATCGTCAACAACAGTTATCACCCGAACACAATCGTCGTAATTCCCGATCGTCGACAACCGAAGACTACAAGTTTCCGATTACCGTCAAATCGTCAACAGAACGTATCACCCAAACACAATCATCGTAATTCCTGATCGTCGACAACCGACGACCACAAGTTCCCGATTACCTTCAAATCGTCAACGACCATAAGTTTCCAATTACCGTTAAATCGTCAACAGAACGCATCACCCGAACACAATCATCGTAATTCCTGATCGTCGACAACTGACGAACACAAGTTCCCGATTACCTTCGAATCGTCAACGTAAGCGTCACCCGAACGCAACACCGTAATTCCCGTAATCAACCACCCGAGTATTCATTGTGTGCACCCGACGTCATCGTTCTCGAGTCGTACACCCTCCTGCATACGATACGAGTTAGCATCGAATCCCCGATCATCAACTAAGCACCAGTACCTTGAAATCACGAACATCTCCGAAGTCCATTTGCCATCCTATATTCCATATTTATCTTATCGTATTTCAACCCGAGTAGATTGTAATTTAGAATTAAAGATCAATAAAACATCCGATTTTTACCCCCAGGAAAGGGAGAAATCTACTCTTATTATTTCATAAGATTTAGTGGGTCCTTATGGAGACCCTGGATACAGCTGATCTTACCTCAGCCGACGAGAAAATCACGTTACAGGCTATACCTATAACGAGCTACAAATTCCAATTTTTAGACAAATTGGTGGAAATATGTGGCTAAAACTATTAAAATACTGAATGTCTGCAGGTACCATTATATGGGGGCTATACGAAAACGTGGACCTATATGTACAATGTTCCGCCACTAGAGCTAGAACCCATAACGAACTACAAATAAAATTTGTAGAGAAATCGGTGGAAATATGTGGCTAAAACCATAAAAATACCGAATGTTGGGATGTACCTTCATATGGGGGCTATACCTATAACGAGCTACAAATACCAATTTTTAGACAAATTGGTGGAAATATGTGGCTAAATCAAATAATGTGAGCTGTATCGTGATTTCATTGAGACGGACAACGTTAAATCGACTTAGAATTTTATGCTGATTATGCATATATATATTTTATGGGGTCTATGACGAATATTTAAAGGTTTTACAAGCGGAATGGCAAATTTAATATACCATCCTTTCCAAGATGGACGATATAGAAAAGTGTAGATCATAGTAAATACTGAATAATAAATTATTCAAATAACGGCAAACCGAAGAAACAAATATAAAACAAGTAAAAAACATTAAGTTCGGCCGGGCCAAACTTTTAATACCCTCCACCTTAGGGTAAAGGAAACATTAGAAGAAATGTGGCAAAAACCATTAAAATGCCGAATATCGGGAGGTATATGGGGGCTCTACCAAATCGTGGACCTACACATGCAAGGTTCCGCCAACGGAGCTAGAACCCATTATGACCTACAAATACCAATTTTCAGACAAATACGTGAAAAAAGGGGCAAAAATCGTCAAATTACCGAATATCGGGAGGTACCGTTATATGGGGGCTATACCAAAACGTGGACCTATAATTACAATGACTCGCCACACGAACTGGGACCCATTATGATCTACAACTACCAAATTTTCAGTGAAATTTGTGAAAAAATCAGTCAAAAATCATCAAAATACCGAATATTGGGAGCTACCGTTATATGGGGACTATACCAAAACGTGGACCTATACATACAATGTTTCGCCACACGAACTAGGACCCATTATGACTCACAAATACCAATTTTTACACAAATCAGTGAAAAAATGTTGCAAAAACCATCAAAATACCTAATATCGGGAGGTACCGTTATATGGGGGCTATACCAAATCATGGACCCATACATGCAATGTTTCGCCACCGGAGCTGGAACTCATTATGACCAACAAATACCAATTTTTAGACAAATCCGTTAAAAACTGTGGAAAAAATAATCAAAATATCGAATATCGGGAGGTACCATTATATGAAGGCTATACCAAAACGTGGACCTATATATGCTATGTTTTGCCACACATACAGGGACCTGTTATGACCTACAAATACCAATTTTCAGACAAATCCGTTAAATAATGTGGCATAAATCATCAAAATACCGAATATCGGGAGGTACCGTTATATGGGGACTATACCAGAACGTGGACCGATATATCTCATTTTCAATACCAACCATCCTAGACACAATACCAATTGCTCTGCTAAATTTTGGCGCTCTACGTCAAATAATGTGGGCTGTATCGTGATTTCAACAGACAGACAGACGGACAGACAGACAGACAGACAGACGGACAGACAGACAGACGGACATCGTTAAATCGACTTAGAATTTTATGCTGATTATGAATATATATACTTTATGGGGTCTACGACGAATATTTAAGGATGTTACAAACGGAATGACAAAGTTAATATACCCTCCTTTCCAAGGTGGAGGGTATAAAAATAAAAAAACTTGTAGACCAGACATTACATATAAGGTACATTATTGCACTTAATGCTCTTTCTACGAACATCTGATCGAACTCTTTCTTTAGATGACAGTTTTTTCCAGTAGTTACATGTATCACTATAGAGTAAACACAATTATTAACTTCGCTAACGCACAACCGGCAAAATGAGCGATCGCATTTATTGTCATTTGAGATCGATTGTCAGAAATGATTTCAATCGCCAACTTAATGAACGTTCGCTGTTGTGTGCTCGCGCTCGTTTGTAATGTGTGTGCGAACATTCGTTTGATAAACGTTCGTCTGGTAAAGAATTTATCGTGATAAAATACAATCGCAAAATAAGCTCGAATGAGAAGATCGTATTTTGATGGTTTTAACCGCATTTTAACCGTTTGTCAAAAATTATGATATTTAAGGCTCGCGATAGATTACAATCGCTGGATAAAATTGTCTATATTGGCTCCCGTCTTAGCATAGCCCCCATATAACAGCTCCAACCATTCTCCTACCGATTTTACTGGAGTTTGTAGTTTAAAGTGGAACTCGTTTGAATCCAGGTACTTTTGCATAAAAATGTTTTCTTTACACAATGGTATATATTTTTCATAAAATGTAAATAGGCATGTGAAGTGTTCAGTATTTATTTTTTCTTACTGCCCGGTGTGTTTCATGGGACTTGGGCAATTGGAAAAGAAATGGTTATTGCATGTTAGCAGGGACCATAATTATGTCCCATCTAAAAAGCAATAGGATACAGGATGAATAAGCAGTAAAAACAGCAATATTGTAAACACCATCATAAAACGTTCTATCAAACTCAAACATTCGGTCAGATGTAACGTGCTCATGCGAAACGAAAAAGTTGTGGAGAACATTAATTGATCGAAGCTTTGTGTTCGAAACTCGATTGAAAGAAAAAAATCACAGTTGTGATTGCTCACTTCAATTCATGTGTTCGATCAATTCATGTAGCTGAACTCATCATATGCTCTCGAACACTCATGTTTGATTGTAAGCTAAGTGATTCAAACTGAGCGTTCGATTCGATCCGATGCGAAAAAGATTATTTCATTAAGATTAGATCAAACGACTGAATCAACAAAAATCATGTAAGAAACCGAGTATGATTGCATTTTTTCATACTCGTTGCAGCCCTCTGATGCAGAATCACATACTCCATCGTCAGAATGGCATTTTATGCATTTATTTTATAAATCCACATGTCTGAAGAATTTTACATAAATTCTCAAAAATGTCGATCTCCCAAAAATTTTGATTGTCCATAAAAAATAGAACTAATGAGTTTATAGCAGAAAGAATGATGCAGAATCGCATACACCATCGTCAGAACGACATTTAACGCATTTATTTTAAAATCGGACCAATTTTTCAGAAATCCTTCAAAATGTCGACATCCTCACGTCTGAACAATTTTCAGAAATTCTTGAAAATATAGATGTAAGAAAATATATCATAATAGAACCATTAAGTTTATAGCAGAAAGAATGATGCAGAATCGTCTACACCATCGTCAGAACAATATTAAATGCATTTATTTGATCATTCCACACGTCTGAGCAATTTTAAAGAAATTCTTGAAAATGTCGATATACCAAAAATATTGATTGTCCATAAAAATCTGAACCAATAAGTCTATAGCAGAATGAATGATGCAGAATGGCATACGCCAACATCAGAATGACATTGTTTTGATAGTAGGATCTAGTGCGATTCAATTCAAACACATAAATTTGAACTGACACTTAGTATCCAAATTAATTTCCTTGCAAGCACATGAACTTGAAGGAAGCCGCCTAGATAGTAATTAAAACTCTTGGTTTAGTCACTACAAAAGACGACTGAATTTTCTTTATTTCTGGCTGTCTTTATATACATAATTTCTTAACATAATTAATTAAAATGCTATTGATAAATGCTGATATAAATTAATTGTAATGTAGGTCGGCTACTAGTAGACATTAAATGCTATGTAAGCAAAATAAATAAATGTGTTAAAGAAACTTAAAAACATTGCAAAAGTGAATGAACCAATGGCCAATGAACTAAAATAAAGAAAATTAACTGTAACAATAAAATAGTCCAAATATGTGATATAATAATGCTGTATAAGCAGTTTAAAACTTATAAATATGTAGGTGTGCTTGATTTTTGTATTTATTGTTTGTTTTGGTAACTAAATCTAAAGTATGTTTATAGAACAATAAAAAAAAAATATTTATGTATGTTTTAACATTCTCCGCCGCGTTGACATTGTTCAATGAGTGCGCCTGGGTTGGATGCATGTGGGAATGACTCCATTGTAACATCGATGAGATCTTATAGCTGGTGTAGGTATGAATTGAGATGGCTTCTTAAATTTTGTGTGGATCCTCCAACTCAGCAGGCCAAGTAAAATAAGAATGCAGCAAGCTAAAGATGCGTAGCTAACTGCATGATGATGTTGATTTGATGAGTGTATTAATTGTGGTAGGTGTTTTAGAGTTGATTCGTGCAACTGTTTTTGTATATTATCCAATTCTTCTTTATGAATCTTGTAAGAGGTGGTATTGGTATTTGTTGAAACCTTTTCAATTTCCTCTTGTTGACTTATATATTGAATGCCTTTCAATGTATGTATGTAAACTACTGGAAGCTGCAAAATGTCCATGTATCGTAACAAATTTGTTTTTTATTACGCAGTTAGGACCAATTTCCATTATTCCGGAATTTTTAATGATGATGAGGTTGGTTTCAGATCCGCATACCATTGAAGATTCAATATCGGCTGTAGTAGCAAAGATCCATTTATTTTGATGATGTAATTGACTCCAAACTGCTGTTCCAGTAATTTTGTGAAGACGGCAATTGCTAGTTGATTGGTTATTGAAGATATTGATCTCGCAAGGGTTAACAAGTGCATTTTTCTTGAGCTTTGACTGCTGATTTCTGCAAATATATACATCATCGTTTGGTTTGAGGCAGCTTGAAATATCCTCTGATTTGACAAGAATATATTCTTCTCTATGTGCATCGGTAGATATGTATTCCGTTTCTGGTTGAATGGCGATTAAGGTGTCATTTTGTATTGTTGGAACTGCAACTATTTTGAACAACTCAAAAA